TCCTGACACCATAGTTGTGAAAACGCTATTCACCCTGGCTTTATGTGATAATGGCTATGCCCCTTCCCTTTCATGACACTGTCAAAAAGGTACCAAGCATGGATGTCATTACAATTATGCCCCCCCCTGGAAAAATTCCTGCGGACGCCCATGCCCTTACTCCTCCTCTACAGGAAGAGGAAGAGGAGGTGCGGCTAGTAATGCCACTCCCCTTGCCCCATTGTCTCCTCCTACCCCATCCTCTAGCTCAGAGCCTAGCCCACTTGTTCTAAACCCTCCCCTTCCGGTACCTACCCCCACTAACTCCACCTATCCGGATTTTACGTCATTTCTGGTTCCTGGCCAGGCTCCTCCCAGCCCGGCCCGGAATATTCTGCTTACCAACCTCCCCTTCAGTAAAGAAAAAGCGTCCCCCTCCCCTCGTCTTACTACCCCATTGACCGGAACCCATAACTGACCTTCCTCAACGAAGCCCCATACTAACCCGACAATTGACCGGTACCCTTCAACCCCGACATTATCAAATGCCTCTCCGATTGACACCGGGCCCAACACACATTAATGGTGAAGGCCAGTTACAACATGCCGACCCCGTATTTGTTTATGTTCCCTTTACCACTACGGATTTGTTCAACTGGAAAACCCATAACTCCTCTTACACAGGCAAACCTCAAGCCATGACAGATTTGATTACCTCCATAATCCAAACGCACAATCCCACTTGGGCTGATTGCCAGCAATTGCTTATGACATTGTTTAATAACGAGGAAAGGACTCGGATTAATTAGGCGGCAATTAAAGCGCTTGAAGAAGTGGCCCGTGCACAGAATCAGGCCAACCCGGTAGCATGGGCCGCAGCTCATTACCCAAACGTAGATCCGAATTGGAATGTTAATGGTGCTGATATGGCTCACCTAAAAGCTTATAGGGAAGCCATTATTACTGGCATGAAAGCCGGAGGGAAAAAGGCGATCAATATGTCAAAGACGGCTGAGGTATTGCAGAAATGTGATGAGTCGCCCAGTGCCTTTTATGACCGATTATTGGAGGCATACCGATTGTATACCCCCTTTAGTCCAGAGGCTCCTGAGAATTCCCGGATGGTTAACTCTGCCTTTGTCAGCCAGGCTTACGGAGATATTAAAAGAAAATTGCAAAAGCTAGAAGGGTTTGTAGGGATGTCTATAACTCAACTAATGGAAATAGCAAATAAGGTTTATATGAATAGGGAGATAGAGACGAAGAAGGAAGAAGAGCGTAAGATGAGAAGGAAGGCAGATATGTTAGCGGTAGCTATCGCTGGTGTAGATAGAAGGGAAAAGGAAGTGTACAGGGGAACCGAGAAAAGCGAGAATAAGTGGAATAGTTAAGTAGGAACCAATGCGCATATTGTAGGGAAGAAGGGCATTGGAGGAGTGAGTGTCCATTGAGGGAACAACATGAGAGAGATAGAACAAGGGGAGGATATAGTAATAACTATAGAGGTAGAGTGAGAGGAAGAGGAGGCCCTGGAGGAAATGGTGGGAATAGTAGAGGAAGCGTTCAAGGGGATAGGTATTACCCAGCAGCGCAGAGACCGCGAGAAAGAGAAGATAGGGACTTTGTGGGTTTGGCTGACACTGTCATGGAGGACTATTGATACCGACCGGGCTCCATCCCCCTTGGTCGAGCGGAGCCTATGGTCGATGTAGCAATAGGGGGAAAAAGGAGTTCTTTCATGATCGACACTGGTGCTGAACATTCTGTGGTAACCGACCTAGTTGCTCCTCCTTCAGGAAGAACTATCACTGTAATAGGAGCAACTGGGAGGAGTGCTGCTAAACCGGTTCTCAAAAGTCGACTCTGTACACTGGGAGGCCACGTAGTGAAACATCAGTTCCTTTACATGCCTGAATGTCCAGTCCAACTTCTAGGACGGGATTTGTTGTCGAAGTTACAAGCACAGATAACATTTCTGCCTAACGGAACGACATCCTTGAAGTTTAATGGACCCTCAGGTATAATGACACTATCAGTACCAAAGGAAGAAGAGTGGCGACTTTATACAGTGATGACAAGTCAAAACCCTAAGAGTGATGAATCCTTGTATAATATACCAGGAGTGTGGGCAGAAAATAACCCACCAGGACTTGCTCGCAATATCCCACCTATACGCATCGAACTAAAGCTTGGGGTTTATCCAGTAAGCCTGCGACAATACCATATACCTCAAAAGGCGAAGAAGAACATACAGTCTTATTTGGATAAGTTCATAAGGTATGGTATCCTAAAATTCTGTACTTCCCCCTGGAATACTCCATTGTTGCCTGTTCAGAAGCCTGGGTCAGATGAGTATCGTCCTGTGCAGGATTTGAGAGCAGTCAATGATGCGGTAGTAAGTATACATCCAGTTGTGCCCAATCCTTATAACCTGCTTGCCTTGATTCCGGGTGGGGCTACTTACTTTACAGTCTTGGACCTTAAAGATGCCTTCTTTTGCCTACGAATTGCTACAGAAAGCCAGTGTATCTTTGCATTCCAATGGGAAGATGCTGTAACGGGCTTGAAATGTCAGATGACCTGGACAAGATTGCCCCAAGGGTTTAAAAATTCACCTACCCTATTTGGATCAGCATTAAGTCAGGACTTATTAGATTTAAAGTCCATCCCAGGAGAATGTGTACTACTACAATACGTGGATGATTTGTTGATAGCGGCAGTTACTAAAGAGATATGCCAGCAAGCAACTTATGATTTACTGCACATTCTTTGGAAGGCAGGATACAAGGTGTCCAGGAAGAAAGCTCAGTTGTGTCAGCCAACTGTCAAGTATCTGGGATTCCATATCTCTGAAGGTCAAAGGATAATGGGGCCTGAAAGAAAAGAGGCTGTATGCCAAATACCAACACCTAAGAATAGAAGACAAGTGCGAGAATTCTTAGGGGCAGCAGGCTTCTGTAGGATATGGATTCCCAGTTATGCGATACTGGCGAAACCCTCTATGCCGCTATGAAAGGCACGGAACATGATTCCTTCCTGTGGACCATCGAACAGCAGAAGGCATTTGAGGATGTTAAGAAGGCATTGATGAGCGCCTCCGCATTAGATCTACCTGATCATACACATCAATTCTACTTATATGTACACGAGCAAAGAAGGATGGCTGTGGGAGTACAGACACAGTATCTGGGATCACGGCAACGACCTGTTGCGTATATATCCAAACAACTGGATGCAGTAGCCAGTGGTCTTCCTCCTTGTCTAAGGGCCGTAGCTGCCGCCGTCCCCTGTTGGTAGCAGAAGCTGACAAGCTCACTCTGGGTCAGGAACTCTATGTGCGAGTCCCGCACGCAGTACAGACGTTGCTAGACTATAAAGGTAATCATTGGTTTAGCAATAGCCGCATGACTAAGTATCAAGCCATGTTATGCGAGAACCCGAGAGTGCATCTTGAGACTTAATACCTTGAACCCAGCTACCCTCCTGCCGCAACCTACTGAGAGTTGACATGATTGCCTGGAGGTAATGGATGAAGTGTTCTCAAGTAGACCGGACCTTCATGATTTTCCCATCCAGAACCCCGATGTTCAGCTTTACACGGACGGCAGTAGTTACGTGAAAGAAGGGATTCGCTATGCCGGATATGCAGTGACAACTATAGACAAGGTGATAGAAGCGCGGCCATTGTCAAAAGGAACATCAGCACAGAAGGCAGAATTAATCGCACTTACACGGGCTTTGCAATTGGCTGAAGGGTTGAAAGTAAATATCTACACAGACTCAAAGTACGCGTTTTTAACCACTCATGCCCATGGAGCTTTGTATAAAGAAAGAGGATTACTGACCTCAGAAGGAAAAGAAATCAAGTACGCAGCTGAGATATTACAACTATTGGAAGCTGTATGGGAACCGAAGGAAGTTGGTATCATACATTGTCGAGCACATCTGAAAGGTGATGGTGATGGTGATGTGGTGAAAGGAAATCAGATAGCAGATAGTGCAGCTAAGCGTGCCGCTGAATCCGGACAAAAAGAATATGTGGAGTGTGTAGCAGCTCTTATACCGACCCCTCTGTCCCAGTGGACTCCAGTTTATACAGCTCAAGAAGTAGAGTGGTTAAAGACTGAAGCTGGGAAATATTTGGAGAATAATTGGTATCAGTTAGAAGATGGAAGAATAGTTATTCCAGCATCGCTAGCTGTAGAAATGGTCCAGAATTATCATAATGGGACACATTCTGGAAGAGATAGTATGGAAGAATCTCTTAGGAAGCATTTCTACACACCAAGATTGTCCAACTTGACTCAAGCCATTGTTCGAAGATGCGTGTCATGTGCCAAGAACAACGCAAGGCAAGGTCCAGTGAAACCACCGGGAGTCCAGTACATGGGAAGGCTTCCTATGTCCGATCTCCAAATAGACTACACGGTAATGCCCAAATCCGGCAGACATCGTTACCTACTAGTAGCTGTGTGTACCTACTCAGGATGGGTAGAGGCGTGTCCAACTCGTACAGAGAAAGCAGGAGAAGTTGTGCGATTTCTGTTGCGAGAAATAATACCCCGATATGGACTACCGTGTTCTATAGGATCAGATAATGGTCCAGCTTTTGTCCATCAGTGCCTACAACAACTGACTCATATGCTTGGTATTAAGTGGAAACTTCATACAGCATATAGGCCTCAGAGTTCTGGGAAAGTGGAAAGGATGAACAGAACCATTAAGACCCAGTTGGCAAAAATGTGTCAAGAAACCCAACTCAAGTGGAATGTTCTTTTGCCAATAGCTCTGTTGCGCATTCGTAGTACACCTACCAGAAAGTTAGGTCTATCACCCTTTGAAATTATGTATGGGCGTCCACCTCCCATACTTAGTAACTTAAGGGGGGACTTGAGTCAGTTGGGAGAAGGAATTACCCGGCGGCAGGTTGTAGAGTTGGGTAAAACTATGGAGGAGGTACAGAAATGGGTACAAGATAGGTTACCTGTAAATATTTATCCACCTGTCCATTCTTACCATCCAGGAGACCAAGTTTGGATAAAGGAGTGGAACAGTGTACCGTTGGGGCCAAAGTGGAGGGGTCCTTATGCTGTTCTTTTGTCTACTCCAACAGGTATAAAGGTGGCAAAGGTGACTCCGTGGATTCATCACTCCAGGGTTAAACCAGCAGCAGATTCTTGGCAAGCTACTCAAGATCCTGAGAATCCCTGCAAGATACGGTTGAAGCGAGTGACCCAGTTAGATTAAAAGTGTTTTTTGCGAAGAGTATTGTTACAAGGGAACATCAACAAAGATCTACAAGTAGGTGTTTTGACGGCCACAATAAAGCCTGACCACCTACCAACGTTTAAGCCAGAGGAATCCTCTGTGAAGAATAGTGAGGATCAGAAGGACTCCATTCCCTGCAGCCCTCACACGCCTGAAAGCTGAGGTGCCGTCGCACGGTCAAAGAATTAGGAAGAAGATGTCAGGAGTAATGTGTTTGATGATGTATATATATGTGTGTTTTTAATTATTCAGGAAGGTAGAGGTACCGACACACCAGGCTGCGAGGTTTGCATTAAGACTACGAAAACAGGCAATCGTATTTCCCAGACCCTTATTTGGCATTCACAATATGAGTGCACAGGACATGTATCAAAGTGTAGATACCTAGGTACAGATTATAGTGTATGCTATATAGGAGCAGGAGAACCTAGGTGTTTTAATCCTGAGTATCAGCACCGTACAATTTGGTTGACTATTCGGAATGAGAATGCACAGGGGAACCTGATAAATAAGACTGTATTAGCAAGCGTACATTCTCCAGGTGTATTGCTATTTGATGCATGTAAGGCGATATCAGGTAGTAGGAAGCCATGGAATGTATGTGGTGGTCTTAAATGGGAAAGAACGTATGGGTCTAATGATAAGTATATTTGTCCTAGTAATAAGCATAAGTATATAGATCCAAACTGCCTAAATAAACACTACAATTATTGTCCGTATTGGTCCTGTGTGGGATGGGCAACCTGGGGACAGACAGTAGATAAGGATATGATTATCACTAGATTGCCTACCAAGCCATATTGTAAATCTATGGAGTGTAACCCAGTCCATATACTTATAAAGGACCCAGAGTTATTTATAGATAAGTTTGGGAATCTATTTGGGTTCCAAATATATGGAACAAGTTTGGATCCTGGGACGATATTATACATAGGAATAGAGACAGATACAGTGGCCCTCCAGACTCATCAGATTTTCCATTATTTTTATGAGGAGATGAGTGTGGAAGATTAGGTTCCCCATAATGCCAAAAACGTATTCATAGACCTACCTGAGAGCATTGCTGGTAGTCTTAATGTAACCAACTGCTATGTGTGTGGCGGTACTAATATGGGAGACCAATGGCCTTGGGAAGCAAAGGAGGTAATGTATTCTGGTTCTGAGACAGTTGAACAACTAATATCTTCTCAATCGGATTATCAAGTGAGTGTTAGAGGTAAATCTGAGTGGCGATTAAAGACCTCCATTATAGGTTATGTTTGTATAGCAAGGAAAGGAATAATGTTTAATACATCTGTAGGAGAATTGACTTGTTTAGGGCAGAAAGCCTATAATGACGATACAAAGGATACTATTTGGTGGTCAGCTTCAAATGTCTCAGAACCGTCTAATCCGTTTGCAAATTATACCAATTTAAAGAATGTATGGTTTGACCTATCTGCTACATCTAGTTGGAAAGCCCCAGCAAATTTGTACTGGATTTGTGGTAAGAAAGCATATTCGGAGTTACCACAGGACTGGGAAGGGGCATGTGTATTGGGTATGCTCAAACCATCCTTCTTGTTGCCAATTGAAACAGGAGAGACTTTGGGAGTTAAAGTATATGGTGTAAATCATAGGAAGAAAAGGGCACCCCTAGAGATAGGTACCTGGGAAGATGATGAGTGGCCTCCCCAGCGTATTATAGATTATTATGGGCCAGCTACGTGGGCAGAGGATGGTACTTATGGATACAGAACCCCAATATATATGCTTAATCGTATTATAAGATTGCAAGCAGTAGTTGAGATAGTTACCAATGAAACATCACAAGCGCTCAATCTCCTAGCGAAGCATAACACTAAGATGAGGACAGCCATCTACCAGAATAGATTAGCTTTGGATTACCTATTGGCAGTAGAGGGAGGTGTATGTGGGAAGTTTAATCTAAGCAATTGTTGTCTTCAAATAGATGATGAAGGGCAAGCAATAGCTGAGCTTACTAGCCATATGGTTAAGCTAGCACATGTACCTACTCAGGTATGGAAAGGGTATAATCCGAGTAGTTGGTTTGGTAGTTGGTATGAGCAGTTTGGAGGAATCAAGGCATTGGTAGGTGGAGTCATACTGATTTTGATGTTGTGTCTCCTTCTGCCATGTCTGATTCCTTTGGTAATTAGGTCTATGCAGAGCATTATAGAAAGTATAGCAGAAAGAAAGGCCGTAGCACATGTAATGGCTGTTTGCAGGTATGAAGCTCTAGATCAAGGAGAATACATGCAGGAAGAGGAATGTTGAGGAGTTCGTATCTTTAGAGGATCGCAAAGTCTAGTCTGGTTTATGGCAACTTGAGGTGTAAGCAAACTATGATTGGTGATGCATCTGGAATTATTTTAAATCAGAAGCATCAAAGGGGGGGAATGTGATGGAATTCCAGTAAAATACAAGTTTAGCAGGCCAAGATTGCTATAAGGCATATGTAGGTACATGTGTTTGTAGTATCAGTTAGTTACACGTAGCTAAGATACTGTCATCACTGTACTGAGCATGTGCAGGAATGCAGGAACTGGAATTACGCGTTCCTCTCCTTTGTTTCAGATGAGCCACGTGGTTAGACCGGATGGATGAGTTTAGACTCTATTCATTGATTAGGTTAAGGGTATGTGTGGGCGTAGCTAATTATGGGAAGAGCTACAGTGCTATATAAGGAATGTACTCTATGTATTCAGTACTCAGATCTTTGATGTTTTTGGTGACATAAGTCCCTCTGAGTCACGGTCGGTGAATCGAATAAAGATCTCTTCCTTCCTGAAGAAACCTGTGTCCATCTCTCTGTGCTTGGCCTCCGTCAGTTTCCCGGTAACACTTACTTGGGTTTGTTGATACGAAAAAAGCTATCAAGCTCAGTCTTTTTGGCATGAGTGTGTGGCAGGATGGTAGTAAGAAAACATTGACAAGATAATGTGGCATTCGGTCGATTCGATGGAGTCTGGGATGCCCCTGATTTTAATATTAGCGTGGTTTATTGGGGTCTTCAGCGAGGTCAATTCATGAGTAGTGCAGACTGAGAGAACTGTACTTGTTGCAGGTACTCCCTAAGTAGAGTTGAGCGAACCCGAACTGAAAAGTTCGGGTTCGTACCGAACATTCGGGTTTTTGGACCCGAACACGGACATATCACTGTATGTTCGGGTTGGAGTTCGGCGATTTAATGGAGCCTTTTCAAAGGCTGCAGGGCAGCCAATCAAAAAGTGTTTGACTCATTGCCCTTAGAAGCCATCACAGCCATGCCTACTAATGGCATGGCTGTGATTGGCCAGTGCAGCATGTGACTCACATGCTGTCTTATTAGTGTAGGGAGAGGATGCTGCCACTGATAGGGACAGCTTAGGAAATAATTCTGCAAACTAGTACATTAGTGGAGTGGGGTGCACTTCATATCTGAGAGTCAAATAGAAACTTCAAATACCACAGTTACATCGGAGTTTTAAAAAGTAATTTTTATATTGGTGCTAAATAGTACTTTAGTGGGGTGCACTTCATATCGGAGAGTCAAATAGAAGCATCTAATAGTGTGCTTACTGCACAGTGGTAAACATTCTAATTGTTTTGCTGCTAAACAGTACATTTTGGGCCTGTTCTTCATATCAGAGAGTCAAATCGAAGCGTCTAATAGTGTGCTTACAGCGCAGTGGTAAACATTTTTATTTTCTGGGAGCTAATCTGCTAAATAGTACATTTTGTGGCCTGCTCTTCATATCTGAGAGTCAAATCGAAGCGTCTAATACTGCTGTGCACAATTGTAAACATTCTAATTGTTTTGGTGCTAAATAGTACATTTTGGGGCGTGCACTGCATATCTGAGAGTCAAATAGAAGCGTCTAATAGTGTGCATACAGCACAGTGGTAAACATTCTTATTTTCTGGTTGCTAATCTGCTAGATAGTACATTTGCGGCCTGCGGTGCACTGCATATCTGAGAGTCAAATCGAAGCGTCAAATACTGCTGTAACATTGCAGTTTTAAAACATAACATTTTTTGGGTGCTAAACAGTATTTTAGTGGGGTGGACTTAATATTTGAGAGTCAAATAGAAGCGTCTAATAGTGTGCTTACAGCGCACTTTTAAAAATTCAAATTTTCTGGGTGGATGACCCTGTGGGACCTCAGATTGAGCAGGTTTAGTCGCCAAGTCTTGGGAGCTCTACAGGAGTGTGTAAATGCAGCTCAGAGGTCAAGCCCTGCCCCCAACTATTTAAAAAAATATATATTTCTGTCTTCTGTCATATATTTATGTTTTAGTTTGTTACAGATTTACCGGTTCCAATTTTCCAATAATTCCGCTGCTGGTTTATTCGTTGTATATTCTTATTAATACTTTTGATTGTTTTATTATTTATTTGTTGTCGAATTAACTTTAACAACGTATCGTTCGGGTGTCTTTCAGTTTCTATCAAACATAAGGGATGTGCATGGGCAAACATTCGGGACTTTGGCAATTCGGGTAAGTGCAGGGTTAGGAGTAGGGTTAGGGGTAAAGGTACCCTACCCCTAACCCTAGGGTTAGACTTAGAGTAGGGTTGAGTAAGGAGTAGGGTTAGGATTAGGGTAGGGTTAGGGTTCCCCTAACCCTACCCCCAACCCCTAACTTAACTCGTTTTTCCCCTCTTCAGAAGTCCGAAGCACTTCGCACTTCCGAAATTCGGCAATCCAGCACTTCGGACATTCAGAAGTATCAGAATGTCCGAAATTCGGCCGAATTTCCATTCGGACCGAACCGAATTGCACATGTCTATCAAACATATATAGTTGCTGCAAATTTACTCTGCTTCTATTTATTTTTTAGAGAGCCTAATTTAATACATCATCCTCTCACAATGTACTTAATGAAGAGGGTCACATCTGAAACTTTCCTGTGATTTATTTGTCCGTCCTCTGAGCTTCTTGCATTAGTGAGTGTAGATTTTTTTTCTGACTTTAACATGTTACCATTTCACCTCCATCTAGATCTTGTTTTATATGGAGTAAGATTTCAAGGCAATTGCCTACAGCTCAGAGCTATAAGAAAATGTAAGGATTACTTGTTAGAGTACGCATTTATTATCTTAC